CGAACTGGGCACGGTTGCCAATCTAGTAAAATGTTACCAGAATTGGTACGTTGACACTTAAGTTTACGATTTTTCAAAAAGTGTGTTTAATCGATTCGGAAAAGGCAGAAATCATGTATGTACATACATACCTATGTAAACCTCTAGGCAACTTTAATACAATCTCGAAGGTGTAAGTAACGCCCATTGTGTATGTTAAAAGAAAGAAAAGGTTTTTAGTACTTTGGGTTATCTTTTTAAAATTGTTGGTGACATTTTGTCCAAGTGTGTGGCAACCGTGGAACTGGGTACAAATGGACGCGATTTGGCAGCGGCGAAGCAATGGTGAATACAACAACAAACAGCTGAGTAGTGCTGACACATAGCTGGAACGAAAAGTACCATTTCATTGATGGAAAATGCCTTCTGAAACCAGCACCTGATAAATTAATAGATGGTTAGCCAAGTATTTCGGGCGCTTTCAAGCGATTACCATTTTAATATATCCATTTAGCTGTCATGTCGAATTCGAATAGAAACCCAAAAAATGCAGCTAGGACAGTTTTATGCGAACTGTGCAAGTTATTTTTGACGTTAGCTAAGATACGATTCTGTATGCAGTCTAAGGCATATTGGACAGGTAGTATCAGCAAACGTTGATAGTGGGCATTGCAATGGATGGATCAGTGCTTTTTGAAGCAAACAAATTTAGCACGAAAGTTGCACAAATATAATTTCGATTTTTTTTTTTTTTNTACATCTAACACGCTACTAACGTGGCGTTGTTGTTGTAACATCATTCAAGCTCCCCGGAGTTTTTTGGGGAGTGATGCTGGAGTGCCCGTCCTTGTCCAGATATACATTTGTACGTAAATCTGGGTCGTTCCGGTTACGTAGACCCGACTGTCGTGGGAACTCTTCATGCATGACTGCGCGAATTAGGTCGAAGAAGATTTGCAGAAACGAATCACTTTCGATCTTTGGTTAGTTATGAAGATTAGTAAACAGCTAGAGTGCAGAAAAAGATGCAGAACTTGAGAGTTTCAATGTATTTGATATGTGGCATCCCCATCCACAGCAAGAAGGCGAGCGAGTCGTAAAATGAAAAATCATCGGTCAGGCAGCGACGTTGTCGACTGCGACCCAAAGCACAACGGCACAGCAACGACAACGATTACCAACCGGGCACAGCGCATACGGCAGAACACACAAACAAACATACGCACGCTCACACAAACACCAGCTAGAGCACAATGAACGCGCAGTCTTGTATTTGAAATAAAATCCGGAGAAGGGAAAGGGAGGACCACGAAGCGAACCACAAAAGAGAGATGAAGATAAAACGAGGAAAAAATGATGTCGATTTTTGTTCGTCGCTCGCGTAGACTGCGAAACTTGAAATTGAATTGAAAATTATTTTTACTGTCGTTGGTGTAGAGGAGGCGATTTTGATGATAAAGTAAAGTTTTCCAAGCGTAAACGAGCCATTATTGACCAATTTTGAACTGAGGTAAGTGCAAAATTGTGTTTTTAGAAGTAATAGTGCCACCTGCATATTTAAAATTAAATTAGGCGATGTATATTGAAGAAAAGAAAGTGTTCCAAGTTGAAGGGGAACTCGATGTTGAGCTGAATTTTTAAAAGTGAATACGATTTTGATCTCCCTTTAAAGCCAGGATGATTATTGGACACACAAAGCAATCTATGAAGCAAACTCGTAAAATTAAAAAGACTCCATAATTGTGAAGAGCAAGCCAGTAGCAGCCAAAAAAGAAATTAATTTTGTTTTAATGTTGAGTTTTAATTTTGGACAAATATTGATGAGTTTATTATAGATATGTAGTGTACCCACTACTAGTTTTCCAATTTTTAGCAAAATAACCAGCATACGCTCTCATCTTCCCTACAGCCATTACGATTCATCCACCACCACTAATACCATTGTCATTATCATCACTACCACAGTTGCGAGTGTGGTACCAATACCAGCAACCACCAGTGCAACCACTGTTTTGCTAACCAACATTGCCATCGATCGATCCATCTGCCGAACGCGATAGCTGCGGCGGCAATAGCACCGGGCATACACTTTTAGAGGAAAATACTTTCGGAAACGCCAACGTGATCGCCACCTTTAACACAGCAGCGGTCTTCGATATGACAACTAACAAGGACATTGCGTCGTTCTTCGAGAATGGCAACACGTACCAATTCGAGTACTGCTATAAACTTTATCCCCAAGTGCTAAAATTAAAGGCAGAAAAGCGAAGCAAAAAACCACAAGAGCTGATACGTTTGGACGATTGGTATCAAAACGAGTTGCCAAAGTTGATAAAAGCACGAGGGAAGGATGCCCACATGATATACGACGAGTTGGTGCAGACAATGAAATGGAAGCAGTCTCGTGGAAAGTTTTATCCACAGCTCTCGTATCTGGTGAAGGTAAATACGCCGCGCGCCGTTATGCAGGAGACAAAGAAAGCTTTCCGTAAGCTGCCCAATCTTGAACAGGCCATAACGGCACTCTCAAATCTCAAAGGGGTTGGCACCACCATGGCATCCGCGCTATTGGCAGCTGCTGCACCTGATTCAGCGCCATTCATGGCAGATGAGTGCCTAATGGCAATTCCAGGTACGTATTGAAAGGATTTCATTATTCTTTTGGACATATAAAAGTAAATAAAATAGCGTTAGGCTAGAGTGACAAATATAATATACCCAGTAAAATGAATAGAAGAAATATACAAACTAAGAAAACATTTACGTTAGTATTTGCGCAGTTTAATTGCTTTGGTTTCTTTGAATTACAGAAATCGAGGGTATTGATTATACCACCAAGGAGTACCTCAATTTTGTGCAGCACATTCAGACTACTGTTGAACGCCTAAATACCGAGGCTGGCGGCGAAACACCGTTTTGGTCGCCACATCGCGTGGAGCTGGCTCTCTGGGCCCATTATGTTGCGAATGACTTGAGTCCAGAGCTGTTGGATGAAATGCCCGGACCAGGCGCTGGTGGCGGTGCAAATACCAATGGTAGTGCAGTAAAGGCAGCAACACAGGCAGCTAAAATAATTAGTGGTGAGGCTGACGATACAAATGACGGCGATGATGAAAGTTTAGGTGCAGGTGGGATGTCAAAACTATTTTACCTTTTTAAGCTTACGTTTTTTTTTGAGTGAAAAAAATTTACTTTCAGCTGAAAATGATCACACCAACACAGCACCCATTGTAATAGCGGCTAGTGCTTTGCAGGATGGCGATTCTAACTTTGTTTCAAACGACTCCACTTCACAAGAGCCCATCATTGATGAGAACACCACACAGACCACTGCTACAACCTCAACCGACGATGGCGAAGTTGGCACACCACTCGCCTCAGATTCAGAGAGCAACTTGGAGGCACCAGAAAAGGCTAAACTTAAACACAACAACAGTAATAGCAGCATAAATACAAACACAAATAGTAATAGCGACATTGAAGGCATTGGCCACCTTGTGAGCAACAGCCGACAGAAGGAAGCTGCCGCTACGGTCGTAGGAAATGGCAACGGTAATGGAAATGGTACTTTAGCGACTTTGGTTGCACCTGGTAGTGATGGAGAAAACAGCAGTTGCTTGCGTTCAACGGGAAATGAGGAAGGGAGCGAGGAAGATGAGGAAGACGCAGAGGACGAAAGCAGTAACAGCAACAGCCGCCACATCGGACAGAGCCACAAGTCAATAACGCCAGTGTTTGGCGGTAATGATGCTATAAATTACACCACAGCCATCGCTAGCGACTCCAACAACGATACCGCCCTCAGCAGTGTTGTCGGAGCCGTTGTGGCGCAGAAGCGAGCATTGCAATGCGCCGATGGTGGCAGCGAAGTCGACGGAATCTTAACATCAGATGAAGCACACAGTCCACCAGAGCTGAAGAAAGTACGAAACGAATAAGTTACAATGGATAAGCGGTTTAACTAGAGCGTAATTAAAATATAGCATATAGAGTGAATGCGCGCTGCCGGTGGGGCAGGAGAAAAGACACAAACCTAAAAAAATAACGTAAAGTGCCGCAAGACGAATGATCGGAGTAGCGCGCGCAGCATTGCAGGATCACATTCTTTAACATTAAGTAAAATTTTTACAGATAACACCTTAACAAAGAAAAAAAAAACAAAAATGTGGAAATTAAACAGAAGAGTAAAATAAAAGCAGTCGAACGATGAATGCTAAGGAAAGCGATTACCGACAGAAGCGCAGACATGCTGCGTTCCAAAAATTGCAGCTATGTACTAGTAACAAATGCCTTGAACTTACTCACTGAACAAATAAATACCCAGTTACGATACAATGTAGGCACAGTGCTTTTTGGCTTGTCCTAAAGCTTTAACCTCAGATTAAGGCTGTGTACTACTGCTGCCGCCTTCTGTTGAATTTGCATTTCACTTTACACTTTTAATTCACAAGTTTATTTGGTTTTTATTTTTTATTCTTCATACCACATTATTTTTTAAATAATTGAGAAGGTCTTAAAAATAAACACCTTGAATTAAAAAAAAAAATATAATATTAGTTTAAAAATAATTTTTACTTAATTTATCATTAAAGAATATTTATTTCTGCATTTTTCCCCAACAAAAAGTAACTGCAAGTAAAAGTACATCTAATTAAATAACTAGTAAAAAAACATAAAGTACTTCTTTGATTAGTTTACACTTAATGTAAAACGAAACTACGCAAACACATACATATACTTGGATACAAAAAAAGAGTATTCAAAATGAAAGTTGAGACGAAAATGACTAAACAGTAAAAATCATTGAGCTAAAATAATGCAAAATCATAACGCAAATTTAAATAATAAAAAAATACAGTAAGTAATGCAAATTATTTTTAATTAGTAATGTAATGTATACTACTTTAAAGCAAATTATAATGCCACACACACACACACACATATACATACTTATTACATGCTAGTGTACATCTGCATCCATATCCACAATCATATTGAAACACTTGCAAAAATTATTTTACTATAACAATAAACAATGAAAAGTTAAAAATCCAAAAATGTGGATATGTTTTCGGCTACGAAAAATAAGCTCAACATAATTGGATAAATGTCTATGTACATATGTACATATGTATGTGCTCGTATTTTACCAATGATTTGTTCTAAGGACTCTTATTAGCATATAAAACTGTATGGTAATTATTTGTCTTGAACATTGTCAATTTCAATTTATGTATGCCACATTCGTGAGACACCTTGCACTGGCACATTTGCATACACAATTTGTAGGTTGCGTTGCATAAAAGTCAACTGCCCCTTTGGAGTTTAATCGCTTGAAAGGCACAAATTTGGTTTTATGTAGATTGCTAATATTTTACTCGCAATGTTTCCTTTTTTATTTAAGTCTACTTAAAAAGGTTAATAGAAATAGACGAATATGCAAAAGTGATCAACAAATCCACTACTACCTTAAATAGAAAGCAAAATAAGAAATACAAATTGAAATTTTTTACAATAGCGCATTTACAAT